GGTCCTATAAGGTCTCCCCGGAGCCTTCTCTTCTCCAGGCTGAACACCCCCAACTCTCAGCCTGTCCCCATAGCAGAGGTGCTCCAGCCCTCAGAGCATCTCCGTGGCCTCATCTGGACTCGCTCCAACCAGTCGATATCCTTCTGATGTTGAGGGCTCCACAGCTGGATGCAGCACTCCAGGTGGGGTCTCACAAGAGCGTAGCAGAGGGGGAGAGTCCCCTCCCTCACCCTGCTGCCCATGCTGCTCTGGATACAGCCCAGCTGGCTCATATTCAGCTTTTCCTCCACCAAACTGTCATAACTGACCGTCTCAGATTTGGATCTTGTTCCCTTCCCCATTTTTAAAACATCTGTTTTCCAGACACTTGAACACAAGCATGGCTCAGCAAAACAGTGATAGATTTATACACAATACAAACATAAACGAAACCAACCCAATTCATTTAGCAGTACAGAGAGAGGCTTCAGCAGACTGAACCTGCTACCACCACAGGCTCCTCCATGTGGATTTTAGTGGCTTTCTATTAATGCCTTCCATCAGACATGAATATTAGGATGAGGACACGTGATCAGGTATGGAAAGAACAGTGTAATTGCAGGATACAGGTCACCTACTGTAGCAAAACGCATTACCTCTGAATCGGAGTCTGAGGAGCTGGAACTTGAGGAACTGGAAGAATCGCTGGAACTATCGGAAGCAATCCCAGTAGATTCCTGCAGGTCAACCGAATCGGCCAAAGCTGCCAAGTCAGGATGTTCCTGCTTCAGGATCCTAAATACGGTTGAAAGGTCAGGATTAGCCTTGAACAGCAACGCTGCACATAAACAGAGTATTTTCAGGGTTTGTGTTAAAGAAAGGATATGAAAAGAAAGCTACTAAACCTCTTACCTGTACCATTTCCGTGACAATTTGGGTCTCCCTCTTACTGTCTTGTGCCACACCACAGGGAAGTTGGTACAACTGGCAAAGTTTTGCGTGATGGCAATAGTTGTGTCAAGATTGAGAACTACATGCCACCAGCCACCTATAAATACAACACCAATGACCATTCCTGGCTACATAGCAGAAATCAAGACTAAGAACACTTTTTCCATAGCACTGGTGGAAATTGGACCTTATCTCCCAGACCCAGGCGAGTTTGCCACTACGTCACCTTTCCTCATCCTCATTCCAGCATTTGCTCCAGTGCTTGACAGATTCTGGATACAGAAGGCTGTTCAATGCTCTGACCACGTTATCTGGCTCACGCACAGTACCGAAGATCCGACCTGACAGCAACACACTGGAGACTGAGGACAAGAGCCACCGTAACCCAGACCACACAGAGACCCTCTCTGTTAAGCTGGAGAGCATTTTCCATGCTGATTTAGTTCTTCTGACTACAGACTAACCTTTCATTTATAAAGAGATGCAAAATCATTTCCCCACACAGGATAAAAAAAAAAATAGACAGTGGTGTTCTTACAACCCACTTATAACCTCTTGCAAAGGCTAAGGAAACAGTTTAACAGAACCCTACAGCTACAAAAACTTAACAGAAGGTACACTGAGGAGTCACTAAGTAGTGCCAAGACCAGCACAAGGCACTCTTCAAATACGAAGTCAGCTGTACGTTAGAGACGAGCAACGTGGCTAGAAGCCACGGGCCACGCTGCACAAAAACGATGCAAGATTTAAATGTTAGAATTTGGCACTGAACTCACACACTTCATCCCCCAGCCACCTCACCTCCCCGTTGTAATGGGCACAGGGTGTGCGGCCGCTCCAAGAGAATGACAGGTCTATGTGATCTTTCTTTAGCTTTTGATTTCAAATGGAAGACAAAGCGTAACCACGGAGAGGTGGGTGGAAAGCATCAGTTAAGTAGTTCTTTTCCCACAACTAAGAAAAATTCATATGTAGTCAGACTACCCAGGCTACAAAATCCAGTCCTGAATTTGCTACGGCCTATGCAAACACAAACATTTTTGTCTAAGAGTAACTGGCACCCAAACACCTCTTATTTTATGCCTTGAGGGTTTCCTATTACTGCAGTTTCACTCAGGATCACATTCCTGTAATGCTGCAACTCGGGTCCCATTTGTTTTGTCACCTGTGCCACATGCAAATGCAGGCCACAGGCCATAGTTTTCAGGACATTCAGAAAATAAATGGTCTCAAAATGTGCCTCACAACACAGATCCCTTGTGAAACACCCCAGAATAGTTTCTTTTGTAAGAGACAGGCCATGTAAGAAAGCAGAAATACTCTCATGATCTCAACTATGTGCAAGTGTTAAAAACGCCTTTCTCTCCCAGGTTCCTTACTGGAGAGATTTGGACATACCTGGCACAAAGACGGTCTCGCCCGGTTTTTGTAAGATTTCCAGGGGTTTGAATTCAGGGGGCCAGGTGGGGAGCTGCGTCCTAGGATAGATAACATTGAACCAAGTGATAGCCTCATCCTGCTGGTTCCCTCCCTCTTCTCGTGTCACTTTGATCAGCTCTCTGGGAGTGCTGGTAGGGAACAGGCACCAACGCTTATGTCCCTGAACTAAGGCATTCCATGCGCTAGTTCCCAAGGGATCGATGTGAATTCCTGTTCCAGAACGAGGTGGGCCCATCACAAACCACCTGCATGGGGGCAGAAAAAAAAAAAAAAATCCTTTAGTCATAGAGCAACCAAACATCTACCTTCTTTTTTTTCATATTAAACAGAAAATTACAGTTGTTAATTTGACATACAGTTAGAAATGAAAGTAGTTACAGTTCCTTGAGATTGTTAGGTTCACAGTACAGCAAAAAGATACAACTTCGGTTAAACCTAAAAAAAACCAACATGAATTGGGACAGGGATGACTCTGGGACAAAAAAGTAAACATGCCTTTTATATGTCATAGCTGTATTTTTTAAACAGTTCTTCAGTGAAATTATATAGTGATTTCAAGGTTTATGAATGTGATTAAGACACAACAACCTACCTTAGGTATGTTACTACGCAGGGGGATTCTCCTAATCCTGTGTTTTTCTAAAATTCACTACTCAAAGGGACCCAGAACAACGAGGAACAAACAAAAGGCAATAGAAGTAAGGAACAGAGCAAAGTTACGCAACCCTGGCCTCCCTCTATGCCTTCTGTTCATTCACAACAGGCTTTTCATTCTACCATTTAACTAGGTGGAGCTTGTTCTGGAGACCATTCAGGATTTGGTGTATATATTCTCATTCCCCATTTGCAAGGGTTATTTCTCCCAATGGAGAGCATTATCTACTATTCATGGTTAACAGCAGCAGCACCTTCAATTGCTTACTGCCCCTGTAACAGAACAGTAAGATCTACCAGACCAGATAAAGCAGCGTGAGGTGGCCAGTATCAGGCGTCATGAGGGAAAAAAAAAAATTGTTTAATGGGCAGCAGAGAGGGTAAAAAGTAAAATACCAACAAGATCCCTCCGTCGCGTGGCTGGCAGGCAGGCGATACCCACCAAGAGGAGTTCAGTGATTCAGGAAACATCAGAAGTCACCAAGCTCTCCATCTCCCCTTTCCAACGCAGGTGTACATTAAGCTGGTTTTCAAGTTATCACCTGCTGGCACCAATTGCAGGACTTTGGTTTGGTTATCAAGCTGCACTCTTCCTGTTTCAGGAAGAGGCCATAAAAGCATAATAAGCAGGTGTTTGTCACTCCTACTGTCAATTCACTCTTAGCCTTGGAAAGCTAATTAAACCACAAACAGAACAGTCAAAGCTTTTACTACGAAGTCAGAAGAAATTAACGAGACTGGCACACAGACAGACTTACTGTTCAATAACACTTTTCTGACTATAACCTGACTCTACACACACAAAAGATTTTAAAACCTTCATTTAGCAACACTACCATTTACCAGCATCTTCCTCCAGGCGTTTAATTTACAGTGAACCCAACTCAGTTTGCCACAAGACATCAAATTTACCCTTAAAAATTTCACAGCCTGTAACTCAATTTAAAAGCAACGGCCCTCTGAAATAAAATAGCTGCTTCAGTAAATGGCTTCCAAAAATTACTGCCTGTAAAGTGGAACTCCATTAAGGATGTTCTCAACAGCACGAGTTCTTCCTTTAAGATCTGTACACTACCACACACCTCTCTGTACAGTTCATATCCTGATCATAAGATTAGAAAGCAGCACTTCCTGTTGGATTTTCAATTATGCTCTTAAACTACTGGATACTCTTCATCTGTTCCTGTACCTAGGTGAAACTCCAGAATACAATCATTTAGGTTGGAAAAGACCATTAAGATCAAGTCCACCCATTAACCCAGCATTGCCAAATCCACCACTAAACCATGTCCCTGAGCACCACACCCACACAGCCCTTAAATCCCTCCAGGGATGGTGACTCAACCACCTCCTGGGCAGCCTGTTCCAGTGCCTGACAACACTTTCCATGAAGAATTTTTTCCTAATATTTAATCTAAACCTTCCCTGGCACAACTTGAGGTCATTTCCTCATGTGCTTGTTACTTGGGAGATGAGACTGCCACCCATGCCCCTAACTCCAGGGGGCATCACTGTGCTCTCTTGCATCACCCATCTCAAAAAAATCCACCCAAAACCCAACCAAACAAGCAAAATCAAAACTCACACAGAAAAAAAAAATCTCAAACCAACCCACATTTTCCAGAACAAAGTACGAGAATTGTGAATACCAAGATCACAAGCAAGGAGCTTAGCATGTGCCCGTAGGTGGAGAGGGTGTAGGGGGAAGAGAAAGCACGGTGAGTCACAACCAGATTATCTAGCTCACCTACAACTTGGATAAGTGATTCCCAGTTCTGTAAGTGTACTCAGTTTCTACTAGAGACTACACCTGGTGTGCTTTTGCATTTGATGACAGCATTGTATGTTCTTCTCAGAAGTGAATAACAAAAAGGTCTGTTACAACACTGTAAAAACACCTGCTTCAGTTACGTTACATACGCTTAGTTTCAAGCTGCACTCCTGCAAAAGCACAACTGGACTCAAGACGCGTGAGGGATTGCAGAGAAGAGTACCATTATTCATTGCTTGTCCCGTTTTATTAAAAACACTCCAAACAATTCGAAAAACCCACATCACAGCCTCATGTCACTCAAAGGGCAAGGTGTTCTCTGACAATTATAATAATTATAGTTGCTGTAATGACTTGGGAGGGGTCAGCTTATGCTCATACTGTTAAGAAGCGTTACAGTAACGTAGACACAAATCCCTTTTGTAGCTAACGGCCCAAATGCAAGGTTGATGCATCTGAATTCAGGAATGAAGTGTCATTTCAATCTTTTCCCTATCAGCTGCAAAGGGAGTTGAAAAGACTACACAAATGTGAAATACTGTTCTCTCTCAAAGTCATCTGAAGGGGAGATAAAGACTAATCTCCACACTAGTCTATCTCAAGATCTTTACCTTAGAAGGACTGACATAATTAAACAAAATTCCACAGTGTGCATAAGCCATTGGTGTAAAATCCAGGCGCTAGTCCCAAGGTACTTAAAATTTGAAAGCGAGATGGCACACGTAGCAAGAAATTAATCTTCCTGACTTCCAGTAACTTTTAAAAAATTGAAGTAGTGAGGTAAACTGACTTACCAAAATTTGAAAAATGCCAAACCCATAAACTTGTAGCAACATGGGTGGCAGAACCAGAAATCGTGATACACAAATCTGCCCTTCTCTCCCTCTGGAAACGAGCATAGATCCACTACCCAAAGAGCGGACGTAAAGCTGTAACTTTGTTGTATATAAGCCAACGATACCTACTTAGGAACAGCTAAGGAGATGGAAAATACCTAGTTTTATCTTGCTGTCAGTGCACTATACCTGTAAGGCGGCCTGCGTTTCTCCCCTGCATACTGAAAGAGATCATCAGTGAAGAATTTGGGTACTTTGTAGTCCTCCAGGAGTTTCCTGCGCTTGGGATGCTCTCCATAACTGCTGTCAAAGATGTAGAGCGGGCTGTCGTCACGTGTGGTTTCCATATACTCTATGTAGTATTTCATCTTCATCTTCACAGAATAACCGTCGTTGTCCTCCCCACATTTGAACTTCTGGTTCCTATACTTGCGTTTCAGCCGCTCCAGAGTCCACTTCTCTTGGGCAGACCAGCCCACCTGAGCATTCAGCAAGACTACAGGCTTGTAAGGTTTTTCATAACGCTCAACAAATTCCTCCACTGTTAACTGGAGCGCATCTGCCCTCTCCACATTATCCTGTGAAACCAAGAGAGGAAGACAGACCAGATATTAGGAGAGACTAATGTCTTCGAACTGTGCTTTCCGAGTTAGCGTGGAGGAGCTTCACACTCATACTCTGCTCCCTACACCACGAGGGTATCAAGCTGCCTACGTGTTATCTTAAGCTCCCGATGCTACAGTCCTATTTCTCACGCCCCGCTCCCTGCGGGAACACGAGCAGCCTGAAGCCCTTTTTCACACTTCCTCACCGAAGGAACTCCCCAGGCGAAGAGGCTACCCCTGTCCTTTCGGCGGGCACATCCCCCGCTGCATTTTGCTTCCCACGGGACCCTGGGGAAAGCGCCTGAGAACTACCCAGGCGCTCCTACACCGATGGTGCCCATCCCACCCCGACGAGGTCCTGACCTCCCCGCACCCCACGCCACGTGGAAGAACTTAAAAACGTGGGTGCTGCTTGACCTTCTCATCCCCGCCCCGGCTCTCTCCCTCCCACTCCCAGGGAGCCCTGCCAGACCTCAGGCAACCCCCTCCCCGAGAAAGGCCTCAGACCTCTGCCCGTTGCCCATCCCCTCAGGCTTCCCGGTCCCCTCGCTACCCCTCCGTCGCGTCCCTC